CCCTGTCAAATTCAGGATACAGAGATTAGGATGAATTATTCTAACTTCAGCCTATCTCTGCTCCCAACATTTTACAACAGACTTAATTATACTTCTTTAATCTCGGTTGGAAACTTGTGACTTTGTTGTCAAGTTTACCAACAAAAATGTCTATCTGTGACTGTTAATACAGCTAAATGAGTAGCATGAATGCTTGTGTTATGTGAAATTAAAGAACAAGCGACTGAAGAAACAGTGTTGTCTAAAGGAAAATTTTAATTTGACTGTAAAATTCTAAATTTGCCCATTGTTGGTTATGTAATCAGCATAGCATAAACATTTTAAACTTGTAATATACTAGTCAAAATTCCAATTCCACTGTTAAGTTAGATATGTCATGCCACACTGTTTCTGACTCTGTGCTTTGTTGGCTACTTATACAAGCCACCCATTAAGGAATCAGAAACAATATGTTATTAATAAAGGTAACCAGCATGAATTTTAGCTCTCAATTCATGCATGTTTACAATGTATAATTTGCAAATGATACGCAGCACAAGGATTCTTTGCTGGAGCTGTTTCACAAATGATTTAAAAAAGAGCACACACCAACTGCAGATGCTTCCTCAGCCTGACGAAGAGTACTTATACCTGAAAGCTTGCTAAGAAGAATTTTTCCAACTCTTTGAGTTGTTCCAATAAAATATATCAGATTTATCCAAAGAACCTTGTCTGCCTTTAAAAAAGGAATACATTTGACAATTTTTCCATTGATTGAAAAAAAGGATAAAAAGCACACAATTCATTGAATGCATTATTTGTGAGGATTTATTTGCCTAAATCTGTTTATCAACTACGTATACTCAGTCATACTTTTCGATGGTAAATTCCTCAGGCACTCATTTTGTTCTTACCAGTAGTAAAATGTTGTGTACATTTGCAGCACTATAGAAGTAATAAATAAATATGAGTCAACAAGGCAAAGACCAGAGTTTATTACTATATGCCAATAACAACCAAATAGTAGATGTAAATGCTTGAGATACCAAGATACTTTAAACAGCCTCATTTAAATAGCATGCCATGAAATGACTTTTTCTGACATGCATCTTACTATAATGAAATAATTTCTAAGAGTAAAATTAATTTACATAGATTTGAGTGCATTTTTGTACATTTAAAGACCTTTGAAAGATACAGGGCTCCCAAGATTGACCTGTGAAAGAAAGATTTTCTGCTGTTGGAAGAATGCATTCTTCCCAGAACTCAAGTACAGTAATTTTTTTTCCATCTCTACTGTGAACAGTTTTTTTTCTTCTTCTTTTGGCCTTAGGAATAAAAAGCTCCCCCCACCTCTTCACGCCGGCCCAAATTTAGTAGGCTTTATCTTTAAGAAGAAATTGAAGCTTTTGCTCCACTCACCTATTACCACCTCCCAGCAATTCCACAGTTCCCATGTCTAGCATAAGGTGACAATCATCAAAGTGGTCAGCAATCCAAAAAAAAGAAAAAAGGCCTACCATCATACAATACACAGGGAAGACAGGGATGCTTTGAGATGATTGTGAAGAATCTAAATTTTTCTAACAATTTCTTTTTTTCACATATATAAACAGTAGCATTTTTGGGCCAGCCACATGATCTAGAATCCATAAACCCAGGTTTCTCTGTGTTAGACAACCAAATTTGCAGCTGGGTTTGCATGTATCCATTTGTTCACATGTATGATTTTCTCACATTACATGTTAATTTGGAATTAAGTGTATTAAACTGTCTCAGCGAATCTGGACTTTAGTTCTCTAGTCCCCCTGCCCATCAGCTTTTTTGCATGTTGCAATGCACCCATTTTGAAACATGAAAGTGGGGATTAAGGACTTAGAATGCAGGAAATGGATAGTTCATTGGACTGGCAGTGGAAATAGTTAGCTTTTCAGCAGTAATTTGTGGGTTAATATCCAAATCAGTTTAGTAGTGGTTCAAGTAGCTTGGGGCTGTTTAGCAGGTTATGAAAAGTGAGTTAGAGTTCCCAGGACAAGTGTCCATATTACAAATATCTTCAAAATGATAATTAAATATGCAATCAACTCAACAGTTAACACTTTGGTTCATAGACTTGCATGAGGATAAGGAATGAAGAGATTCATTGATCACTAACACAAGTTACATTTTTCATGTGGTTACTTCTGAAACCGCTCTACAGCTTTGATGTAATTAGTACATGTAAACAGCTGCAGAGCGCTTTAAAAATGGCTGATCGTATGAAAAAATAACCCTAATCAGATCAGGCATTAGATTAAGATGCTCTACTTTAAAAAGCCTTAGGGAACTTATGTTCTCTCAAGGGTTAATTTTTCACATGGGACAGGGCTGTCAGCAGAGGAGGAAGAGGGGAGGGAGCAGCATGAAGTTGCCAGCTGGGCTTTGCCCAGCCTGAGCTGGAGCAGGGGGGTGGGAAGTGGAATGGAGCCACCTAGCCTCATGCCCCCCCCCCCACCAGCTACCCCTGCTGAGGTATTGTGGGGAGCTGGGCCAGGCCCATAAGGTGAGAGGGCTCTGTTCCACACACCCCAGCTCTGACTGCACTTCTTGAGAGAGCTGCAGTAGCAGCTGCTGGTTGCTTTACCAAGCCTGAGCTGGAAGGGTGTGTGAATCAGAGCCCCATTGTCTCTCAGGCCTGGCCTGGCTTCTCCAATACCTCAGCTGGCAGCTTAATGCTGCTTTCTTCCCCACTGTGTCCCCTGCTGACAGCCCCAGAGCTCAGGGGTGGGGCAGGGTGGGGCTGAGGAAGCTCCTGGAGCACCCCTTCCTGCTGGCCAGAACTGGTCTAGGTTGGCTTGGTTCCCCACTGCACCCCAGCTCAACAGGTGAATGTCTGTTGTGTTGGAGGGGCTGTAACTCATAGTGCTTTATGTAAAAGCACTATGAGTTAGAGCAAGGCCCTGAACATCTGTAGGGACCCATAGAAGTTAACTAATGTCTCATCCTTAGCAGAGCTTTTTCAGTGTAGGAATGGGGTTTGTCCTTACTAATATTTGCTCAGTGCTGTGGAAGGAGTTCAGTGTCTATAGATAGACCTTTTTGTAAACATTATACATGTTTAAAAACATAAAATAAAATGCATATGTGCACTCAAGGACAGTTATATAAAAATCTTGCTGTTGTCTGTTCCTTTTAAAAAGTTTAAGGCTTTCATGGTTTCAGTGGGAATATGCTTTTGTGCATGCAGTCTTTTTTTTTTTAATTAAATGAAATACTTTCATTTTGAAAGGTAATAAAATAAAAGGGCAAGTCTTTTGTAGACTACTGTTTTTATGATGCCCTAACCCTGAGTAAAAAGAAAGCCAGGCCAGCTAGTTGTTCTTGTTTTTATTAAAGTTCCTATTGGCAGCTCACTGATGGGACACATTAATGTTAGTATTAACACAGAGGAAAAGGGCTTTAGAAGCCTAGAATGATTTACTCATCCTAGAGTCCATTTGGATCTGTTGGCAGCTTTACCTGTTATATTGTTACTGGATAGAAAAGATTTCTCAATGTGTTAGAGTTGGATAATGGTGTGTACAGTTGGGTGCTGCCGGGGTGGGGGGCCATGGCACAGAGAAGAAGCAGAGAGAGGGAGTAGTTTGGGCACTCAGTTGGAGAATAATGATTTTACTGAAATTCCAGAGAAAACCTGTGATTTCTTGGAACTCATAAAAGAGGTATGACATCTCCTTCTAACAAAGAAGTTTCTTGTGAGACCTTCCTTATCAAGAAATCTTATACAATATGGCATGAGATGAGGCCTCCTTCTAGTGATGTGTCCCTGAAGTTTGATGGGTGACATTTTCCGAGTTATTTTTGTCTGGGGAGAACAGCAAGAGTGATTGAAAAGGTTCCTCTTTGTGCTATGTGGTTCTGCCCCTAATAACATTTCTAGATTACCTCCACTGAGATCTTAGGTGATGGCAATGAGCCACATATTTTTCGGAGAGCAAAGTTCTTCCACTTGGCAATTTTCTCAGAATTGCAATCATCAGACAGTAATTGGTTGCTTCAGTTTCTTCACATACATAATTATTTTCTGGAAAGTTGACTTCTTGTAATATGGACATCCTTCCTTGAGTAGATAGTCCCCTACTCATGACACTTAATTATAGTTCCCTTCTTGTCTCTATCTATCTTTGAAATGATTATTAGCATCAGGCCTGCTTGAGCCTACATGGACTTGATGTTGACCCATAAAATATACTTTTGCATGTGTTCTTTCTTGTCATTGATTTTAACTGGGCTTGCCTAGACTCACGAGTAAAGCAAACTTGGTATATTTAGACAGAAAAAAAAAGAACGGGTTTGCTCCCCAGGTGGGTTTTTCCTGCTCCCCACAGCTTTAATTAGTATTACATGATAAATTAGCTACTAATGTAAGAGGAAGATTTTCATACAGTAGTAGCTAGAAATTTTCAATGGTAGTCAGTGAACAATTATATCCTCCAATTTATACTATCTCCTCTAGTCTGTTCTTTGACTAAAGGAGCACCTATTATTAGCCAGGCAATAATCAAATGCTTAAAATAGGCATATAAAAGATTTGGAGAATAATGTACACCACCACTTAATAAGCATTTCACTCCCTCATGAGAAGCACTGAAGTGTAGAATCTCCAGCTATATCACTGTATTTTTAACTGGCAAAATTGCTGTAGAGACAGCTATATCTTCTCATTCAGTTTTATTCATAAAACTGTCCTGTTTTATAAACATGGATCATATTTAATGTAATGTGATAAAAAGCAGGAACTATTTAGATAACTTGTGTTGGTTAGATGGCACAAATTAGACTTAAAGAATGGGAATTAAGAGGAAGACAAAAACGTGAACACGTGAATATGTATGATATCATAGACTACTGCTCCACCAACTCCATTTGCCCATAGATGTGCAATAATATCAGAGGATACTTTTCCAAGTCAGCCAGTTGTTTCTGAAATTAGGAAGGAAAAAATAAATGACTTTATCTGTGTATGAGCCCTTTGTACAGTTCTCAGGCTCTCATTTTACAATCAGAAAGCTCAGCAATCAGCAGTATATAGTAGTGAGCAGAAGCAGAAAAAAGAAAGGTAAGAGTTTGGGGCTGAATTTGTCCACTACTGAGTATGAATCACTCCCATAAAATGTCAATGGGAGTGACCTGCATTCTGTGGCAGAGGAAGAAGTTGCTGTGGTATTTGTACCTTAAGAGGAGAAATTCAGCCATTTTACTTATTTCCTTTTTGAAGCTGAGATGCATTTGGTTTATTTCATTTGCTTCCAGTGTAGCTTCTGAAAATGACCAGTACAGTGCAGCTAGTTTATGATTCAAAGTGTAATCCCACTTAGTATGGATTATATCATTTTCAGATCCTACTAAAAAGAAATCCATTGTGCAGTGATTTTGGTGAAGGGTAAAAAAAGAAGACAAATGAAAAGAAAAGAAAACACGAGGAAGAAAGGAACTCCTAGTTTATATTCTTCTAGCCAAACTCCCCCAAACTTTGAATCCTTGGACTTATGCTTTATAAGTCAGTATTTTTGCAGTCCTCCCATGTATACAATATTTAATCTTCTGACTCAAGGGCTATAAATAAATCAGCAGAATACATAATTTAACAATCAACGTAAAAACAAAGCTTCTGTCAAATAGGGCACTTGACTAATGAATATTCTTTATTTATTGCTGCTATGAACAAAGTCATATTAAAATCATAATGCTTGTGATAACTGAGAGCATTCTTGTAGCAAGGAACACTTCTTTCAAAAGAGCTATAGTCTTTCTTATTTTAAGGAATGAAAACAAAAAGGGAAATTTACTTTTGTTTAGCTAGCCTATGTTGCTGTAGACTGCATTTCAGAGTGACTAAACAATGTTGCTGACTGCATTACAATTCCTGTTTTATTTCTTAAGAGTCCTGTATTTTAAAATGTGTTTGATATTTGGAGAGCAAGAAATGCCAGTTGTGATAGAGTGGGCTTGTCTATCAAAGTATGATTTCTATTTAAAATACACAATGAGCAGAAGCCTGATCTTTCTCCAGGGAAGCTTATTATGCTGCATTCTAGACAGCTGCCCTGCCCAGGAAAGATGTTAATACTTTGTTGTAAGACTACCACTGGGAAGCCATCAAGAATGCAGTCTAGGGCCATTGGCTTTCATTGTCTCTCTGCTTCAGGCCTACCTCATGGAACAATGGTCTTTCTACATAGGGGTCCACAAGAAGGGGGCCAACATAACTAATGGGTCTGAAGCTTCTGAATTTCAGCAATTGGCACCGAGACAGGGGTCTTATTTAAGGGCAAGGTCTACTTAATTCAGGGGCTGACCATCACCACATTTAAGGACCTACAGGGGAGAGAGTGAGAGGGAGAGAGAGGGTAAAATGGATTCTGCCCATTCTGAAATGATGGTAAGCCTTGGGCACACAAGAAGGGGAGTGAGGGCTAGCTTGTGTCTCTAAGCTTTTATTATTTTAAAAATAGGTAATTCCCAAGTGCTTTCAGAGTAAAAGTGGTTACAGTTAAGAAATCCATTTGCTAAGTCTATGTCCCTTGCTTTTTTTACAGCACTGTCCCTGGAGGGATTAAGCCAAGAGTGCCTGTAGCTTTTGTGGAGGTTTGAGGAAGCATGTGTAAGGAACCAGGAATGCTTTCTAATATCTAAGACACATCAGGGTTGAGGGCAGGTAGGTGACAGGATGCAGTGTCCTGACAAAAGATGTCAAACAAGAAGTCTGAGCCTCAGTGGGCATGTCTACACATGCATTTACTCTAGCCTAGGTACTCCATACCTACCCAACCTAAGGGTTTTGGGTAGGTATCTACATATGTGGGTATTAGGGAACAGATTTGCTCCCAGTTCCCTGCAACTCAGCAATGCACCTCTGCCGCCACCGGGGGAGTCATCCCCCTCCCCAACCAGTGCTAGCCCAGGGGCTGGCAGGGAACACTGCCTGCTGCTGAGGCAGGAACAATGCCCCCCCCCACCCTGGCAGCAGGGAGCTCCTGGCCCTGGCTCCCTGACCAGGGCACAGGCTTGGAAAGAGCTGCAGGGGAGAGGCAGGTCTCAGCCACCTGCCCCAATCCACTGGTAGGGTATCTAGCTGCCTCACCAAGAGACTAGGGCAGGGGGCTGGGACCTGCCCCACCCCTGTGGCCCTTTCCAGCCCCTATGTCTTGATTACCCAATCAGGGCACAGGGCTGGGACCTGCCTCTGACTGGGACAGTTCCTGGTCAGTCCTGGACTGCAAGGGGAAGTCTGCAAGTACAGCCCGGAGCTGGCTGGGGACTGCCCAAAACAGGACGGTCCCCAGCCACCTCCAGGCCATACATACTTTCCCATGCAGTCTGGGCCTGGCTGGGAACTGTACTGGTCAGGGGCAGGTGTCAGCCAGCTCAAGGCTGGACGGGGAATTGTCCCCATGCAGGGAGCTCCCAGGCCCTGCTCCATGATCACGACTGTGATTGCAGCTTGGGGGCTCGGGAGCTTGTTCCCCACCCAGTTCCATGAGCACGGAGCTGGGCAGGGAACAAGCTCCCCAGCCCTGCCAGCAGGGAGCTCACAGTGCTGACTCTATGACCACGGTGCCACTGCTAGGAGATGCTTATCTCCCAGCCTTAGCCCTGTGACCACAGATAAACATTTCCCAGCAGCGGCCCTATGGTCATGGAGCCACTGCTGGGAGATAAGGGTCTCCCAGCCCACATTCCCCATCACAATCTTGAAGCAGGGGGCTTGGAGCTCTCTGCTGCTGGGGCAGGGGGACATAGTTTCCACCAAGGCTCCTGTAGTAGAGCCTACCCCAGCAGCAGGCAGCTCCTGGGGGCAGGGAGCTATCTCCCACCCTCTGGTGGATGGCTGATCAGGAGCAGATTTGGCTCCCAGTCAGGCATCTACACAAGCTCTACAGCACTATTACAAATGCTGAGTAAATTTGCTACTTATTAGGGGGATTTACTGTGAAGTAAGCATTGGCACGTGTAGACGGATGTGCTTACTTCAGAGCAAACTGCTAATTTGCTGTTAAGCGTCTCATGTAGATGAGCCCAGTGGGTATGCCATTGGCCCCAAGAACTATCAATAGTTGCAAGAGCACCCCAGTTGGCTTGGAAATACATAAACCCACCAATTGGGTTCACTTGCAACAGATAGTATCTATAAAGAAGGCTCCTGTGACAGTTTGTAACATCAGTGATTATTACATTTCATGGGGGGCCTATGTTTAATCTTGTAGTCTTGCACTGGTTATTACATTCCATGCCTTTTAATGTTTCATAGTTTCTAGGGTTGGGAGGGACCTGGGCAGGAACAAGTGCTGGGATCATGATACCCCAGCCAGATATATATCCAAACTCTTCTTGAAGACCCCCAAGGTAGGGGAGAGCACTGCCTCCCTTGGGAACCCATTCCAGAGCCTGGCAGCCCTAACTGTAAAGTAATGCCTCCTGATATCAAGCCTGAACCTGCTCTCAATCAATTTGTGGCCGTTCTTCCTTGTTAACCCAAGTGGTGCCTGGGGGAACAGAGCCTCACCTATTCTCCGCTTGTCCCCCCCGGTGAGTTTATAGACAGCCACCAGATCCCCTCTCAGTCTTCTCTTGTAGAGGCTGAACAGATTTAGGCCCTGTCACAGAGCACTTAGGTGCCCTGCGCCTGAGAGCAGGGGCAGCCCAAGAGAGGCCCCTAGCGGTGAGAAGGGGGAGGCGCAGCTGCCAGTCACCCAGGCAGCGCAGGTGCCGGTTGCTGGGGCAACCGGTGAAACCCCTGACAGGAAGCGGCAGGGCTTAGCCCTTCTTAAAACCCAGGCAGGAGGCCAGGGTGGCAGTGCCTCCTCTGACAGCCAAGGAGTGAGGAGCTCAGCCAGGGCAGGAAGAAGGCCAAGGTTTGGCTGCACGAGTATCTGCAGGTTGCTGCTGGAGTATTTGCCCGGTAGGGATTAACTGTTATACCGGATGGTTTAGTTTTATGTTATAGCCCGGGGGGGGGGCTTTGTGTTTCGTGTTCACTGTTTCACTGGAGGACCGGGTGCGGCTATAAGGGGTGGAAGAGACCTCATAGGGACTCCCCAGTAGCGGGGGGGGTCTCTGGTGTGGACAAAGGCGCAGTATGTTGCGGGGTGCATTGGCCTAGCCCCGAGAGTGGCCAAGGGACCCCAAGAGTGCAGAGGGGTAGAGAGGAGCCCCGAGAGTGGCAGAGGGACCCTGAAAGTGCAGAGGGGCTGCGAGGAGCCGCAAGAGTATCAGAGGGACCCTGAGAGTGCAGAGGGGTGGTGAGGAGCCACGAGAGGGGCAGAGGAGCCCTGAGAGTGCAGAGGGGCAGTGAGGAGCCATGAGAGGGGCAGAGGAGCCCTGAGAGTGCAGAGGGGCAGCGAGGAGCCCCAAGGGCAAAAGGAGGGCCAGGACATAACAGGACCAGTCGGATCACACCAGCACCATCTGCGAGGCTTGGGCTGCAGTGTAGGGGAGGAAAAGGAGCCGCAGATAGCACCCCCTGTCATCGGGGCGCATATAAATGGGCAGCCTCCTGCTAATTACAGTAATCTATTAATTACATAAGATCAGGGTGTGGCAGGCGAGTTAGAGGGCGGTTGGCCCATTACAGGAGGG